AGATAGATAGATAGATAGATAGATAGATAGATAGATAGATAGATAGATAGATAGATAGATAGATAGATTGATTAGCCTCTAGGCCATATCAACGTACAGGTTCAAACACATTTTACCAATAAAATGGTAAACAAACAATTTAAAATGAGAGTAGGGTAAAATACAATATATAGAATAAAATACAATAATTGAATACATAAACATCCGAAATAGAATAAAATGACATAACATTATATATACATATATATTTTAATCACCTCTGCAATCTATCCCAATCAGGCCCACATATGCCAATCTCAGTCGGACCATTTAGTCAGAAATTGTGCTGTATTAAATGTCGTTTTCAGATTCTGGCCACACATGAGATATGTTTTAATACGGGCCTCCCACTGGGCCATACATTTAATATGTGAATCAAGGTACTTATTTCTCACCCCCTTATATAAACAGCAGTCGAATAATATACGAGTCAGATCTTCTACCTCTTCAACTCCAAAGATACATGTACATTCATTGTATGGGATAAAAAGGAATTTCCCAAATCTAACCAAATACAAAACGGATGAAGATTGCTCTCTGGGCAAATGTTGGACACATTTCTTCATGAAGTTTTCAATTTCCAGGTTCCCAAAAAACAAAGATAAGGTTGCATTTGTAATTATAGAATACAGAATTACAGAGTTGGAAGGGACCTTATAGGCCATTTAGTCCAGAAACTAGACTCCATAATCTCTTCTTAAAACCCTCCAGTGGTGGAGCACCCACAACTTCCAGAGACAAGCTGTTCCACTAATTAAATTTTTCTGTCAGGAAATTTCCCCTTAACTCGAAGTTAGATCTCTCTTTAATGATCTTCCACCCATTACGTCTTGTCCTGCCCTCAGGTGCTTTGGAGAGTATTTATAATAACTAGCTCGATAACCATGCTTCGCTATGAAAGTATGTTGTCTAGCTTAGTTTTTGAGGAGGAAAATAAGGGGAATACATTCTGCCTACCAGCATCCATCGGTATTCATCTGGCTAGTGTCCTGTCATTGTGTGAGAGAGTTGAGGGCTGTTTGGAAACTGAAACAGTATTTGCTGTGTGAGCAAGGAGACAGCAAAGAGCCTGGGCACGGCTTAACTCAACTGTTCTGTACGAAAGCTGCTTGATGTTGTGAAACTAAAACTGAAACTGAAACTCCTCTCCTCTGCTTGTGTTTTGCATTTGGAACAGATTTCTTTTCAGGTGGGGAGGGGGAGTAGAACTCCTTAGCATCAGAGCGTGTTAATTACTGTATAAGAAATACTAATGCTCTGATAGTCATTTCAAAAAACCCTTTCTTAGTGAGCACCTAGAAGCCAAGAGGAACATACGTGCCAAATTTCAAGTTTATAGGCTTTACGGTTCTTGAGATGTTGTGATGATGAGTGAGTGGTCCTTCGCTTTTACATATATAGATTGTTTAGCAGAGACTGTCTATGTGCACTAAGCAGAGGGGGAAAATTCAAACCTGATTTATTATCACTCCATGTTGGTGCTTCCCTCTTGAGCATCCATGCTGGTTTCTTTGGCGCATTGGGGGGAAAAGCTTTCTTAAAATTACTCTTGCCTTTAGAAAAAAAAAAGAAAAGAAATCAAAGCATTTTTTAAAAAGTTCATTTCAAATAAAAAAGTAGGAATAGACCTCGGCTGATGACCACAACTGGCCCCCAAAATTATGTTGCTAAGCAAAACATTTGTTAAGTGAGTTTTGCCCCATTGTACGACATTCTTGCCACAATTCTTAAGAAAATCACTGCAGTTGTTAAGTTAGTAACCTGGTTGTTAAGTCAATCTGGGCTTCCCATTGACTTTGCTTCTCAGAAGGCCACAAAAGGGAATCACGTGACCCTGGGACACTGCAACCGTCATAAATATGAGCCAGTTGTCAAGCCTCTGAATTATGATCACGTGGGGATACTGTAATGCTCGTAAGTGTGAAAAACAATCATACGTCACTTTTTTTCAGTACTGTTGCAATTTTGAACGGTCGTTAAATGAATAAATATAACTTGGCGACTGCCTATACCAGTGATGGCTAACCTTTTCAGCTTGGTGTGTTGAAAATCAGGAAAAAGTGTAGCCTTCCTCGAGTCGTGTGTCACTTCAAGAAATATCAATAATTTGGTTTATGACGGACTGGGCTGGGGTGATCACACAGGGCTGTGAAACTCGTCTCCCTGGTCTCAGGACTGCAGGTGCAGGATGTGGGGATCGGAAGGCCACCTTACAGGGCTGTGAACCTCATGGATCTCCTTTCCTCCTGTAGCGTTCCTGAGGTAATGAAACTGACAAACCTCAGTTTATGGCGGTTAAAACTGGTTCTCTGCTGCAAAGATCTTGCGGCAGCGGTGACACCACGCCTCCACGCAACAAGCAGGGAGCAGGGATTGGAGCAGAGCACAGGCAGCCTCTAAATGTGCAGGTTTTCCCCACACCAACAGGCGTGTCAGTCAAAGTGCCTCGGCGTGTCACGAGTGTCACGCGTGTCATAGGTTAGCCATCACTGGCCTATACTATCATTTATTGGGCTTCTTTAATATTTTCATTGGTTCCTAATGGGCACCACTCCAAATATTGTTGCAAGCAGAACAGAGGTGGTATTCAGCAGGTTCTGACCAATTCTGGAGAACCGGTAGCGGAAATTTTGAGTCATTTGGAGAACCGGCAAATCCCACCTCTGACTGGCCCCATCCTCATCTATTCTCTGCCTCCCGAGTCCCAACTGATTGGCTGGGTCTTCTTTTGTTGCGCTGCACAGGAGAACGGAGCTGGAAAGCAGGTTAGTGGGGTGGAGTTGGAATGGAGATTTTGCAGTATCCTTCCCCTGCCATGCCCATCAAGCCATGCCCAGAGAACCAGTAGTAAACATTTTTTGAATCCCACCACTGAAGCAGGACACCGTTTTCCTCAAACAATTTAATATTTTTAATCAGGTTGGCTTTATCGTTTTAATGTGACTTGATGTGTCTTTTGATCTTTGATCGGCAGCTACCCAGAGTTGGTTGAAAAATGGGCAGCTATAATAGAATAGAATGGAATGAAATGGGAAGGAATGGAAATGGGAAGGAATGGGATGAAGTAGAGGAGGGGAGGGGAGGAGAGAGTAGAGTAGAGTAGAGTAGAGTAGAGTAGAGTAGAGTAGAGTAG